TATATATATATATATTAGAAATATATTATATTTAAATATCTACAAATGGGTCTGGCACCATTCATGGTATACATGAAGTCTCTCTCTCTCTCTCTCTCTCTCTCTATATATATATATATATATATATATATATATATATATATATATATATATATATATATATATACATATATATATATAAAAAAATACACATTTATATATTTACATATGTGTATATATATATATATATATGTGTGTGTGTGTGTGAGAGAGAGAGAGAGAAAGAGAGAGAGAGAGAAAAACATACACGCACGAAAAAGTTAACGTAGCTATATATATATTTCTTCCATGGGTGTTATAAATAAAGTGCTCAATGTTATGAGACAGAGCTATAAGTATAAATTAGTGAATATACAATCTTATGTTGTAAATACAATCAGGGCATAGAGTGGATGAAGGAAAGGATAAAATATGAACAGGGTTCAAGACGATAGTATATGGCGATTGACGATGCATTTAAAGATTGTAGTTTTCAGGAAAGCAAGTAAACAGAATGGAGTTCTACTGTCGGGAAGTTCAAGAAAAGAAAATGTTGGAGTAGAAGTGGCGGTTACATTTACGTATTTCAACAGTAAATGGGACCTACATACCAATCTAGTAGTACGTTTACATTCATGTAGTCAGGGAACCAGGGAAAAAAAGCTATTAGTTCGACAAATAGATTTATATATCAAATGTTTCATATACAAGTGTATATTTATAAAGGCTGGTGCTCAAAATTCTATGTCTGAAACATTTAAGAAAAAACATTGATCTGATGACAGGTGAATGTGTCAGACAGCGCCAAATAGGACAGACCTCCTGCACACTTCTTATAGTTAGTTAATCTAAGCAGGCACAAAGTTCTCGCTCCCATGGTGATGGCTTAACCCACTTCATTTCAGAAAGGTTTGCGAAAGTAGTTTCTTATCTAATAACAATCCGAATGTTTCTATGTGGCTATCTGGAAAATATGTTAGTCAATAGCAACATAATTGTTATTTAGCGTCTCGGGAGATTAAAAAAAATTCCTCTATCTAGTGAAACAAGCTGCTTAGTTTTTATTCATTATATTAACCATCGCTCCAATGGTTGGCTAATGACCACCGAAGCCAATCAAGTTATATATTATTCAGTTCGATCCTTACTGGTTGTTCCACATTGATATTGTTAGTGGATACTGCAATAAATTTGAAGTTTCGTAGTGAGAATAACCAGTAATTACTGGCACAAAAGAGGACTGATATCATATAGCAATTCAGTCCGCTTTTCCCCGTTTTTTCCCCGTTTCTTATAACATTGGGCGCTTATTTGAAAGTATTTTTCAGTAATCCGATATGCGTTCAACTTTTGGTGTCGCAGCTTCCATAGTTGCTACATGACTTGGACTTGAACGAGGATCAATGTTCATGAGCAGACGTCGGCAGCTGGTACTGGCTAGCCGCTGTAGTAGACGTTGGTGTTTGGAAACGAATAACCGGCCATTATTATTATTATTATTATTATTATTATTATTACTTGGGAATATATAACCGGAGCAAATTTCGCTTAGCGGCCTATTCACTTTTTTTTTCAGAGGGCTCAAACGATTTCAGTTAACGCACAAATCAATAAAGTGAGATAACTTGCTTGATAGATATTCATTAACCCAACTTTATAAACTGCATTTAATTTACGTGATGAAGATTGCGTTTCAGCATGAAACAGACTGTTGCCGTTGGGTGATGAACTCAGTGTTCTCATATATATATTATAATATTATATGGTAACCCGTATTGAAGATACTCACTCTACGTCACTTCTCACATCCCGTGGAAATAGGTCAACCTGCATTCTCTCACCCAGTACAGTTTCTTTACCTATATATCTCTCTAGACAAACATTTCTACCCCTTTCCCGTTCTTTCTTTTTCCTTTCCCCATTTTGAATCTATATCTTAAAACATAAAGATGAAACCGAAATATCGGTTTTCGAAATAAAATATTACCATGGGTTTCTAAAGTCTCCACTTTTGTATATATATATATATATATATATATATATATATATATATATATATATATATATATGTCATCACTCATTCATCGACGTGAGATGACTTCCCTCTGTCTTTTCTACATATATATTCATGTCAACTGCTCTGATGATATTTCTTTCCATGGTGCCGGTACTCCATGAATTTAAGCGGCATCTAATTCCCACACGTTTATTTTTCAAATAAGTAAATCTAACTATCAATTCTACTCAAAGTTTCTTTTTTCGTACAATTTCTATTCCTCATGTGGAACTCACTCCCATTCACTTGCCCCTCTGCTCACTACAATCTTCAAAAATTTAAATGCAACATCAATCGCCATCTTCTGTCTTCTTGAATCCTGTATTCATCTATTGAACTTTCCTCAATCCTCCCTATACTCTGTCTTTTGTTTCCCTTTCATTCCCTTAGTACTAGTGGCATTCGCGCCTTGCTTTGGGTGAATATATATATATATATATATATATATATATATATATATATATACCAAGTAAAAGATAGGTATATATGGAATAAATTCCAATAACTAAAATATACTATTCTTAAAAGAGTTCTCATTACAGAGTAGAACAAATACAATTTATTCGAAAATGTTAATATATGTTATAAAATCACTGCAAAAATACCAAAGTGTTGAAACAAAATGGCTATTTTTGTGTTAATTTCATAACATATTTATGTTATAATTTTCGAATAAATTATATATCTTTCTCTCTCTCTCTCTCTCTCTCTATATATATATATATATATATATATAAGTATATATATATATTTCTTTGCTTTTCCTCGTGCCAACTCCCCTTTTTCTCTATCATTCTCACTGTCCGCTAGAGAGAGAGAGAGAGAAAGAGAGAGAGAGAGAGAGACTAAAATGATGATTGGAAAAAGCCACCTAATATTTCATATAGCGATATTTATTTATAATATATGAAGTTTTACAGCGAAGAATTAAAACTTTGTTACAATTGGATTTTTAGTGTTTTTTTTCTTAGAAAAATAATTTGTTGTTTTTCTTTTTTTAAAACATTTTTTCTTTGACCACTTTCGCTTAGCTTTTCAAAAGTTTTTTAACAATTTGTATTCTCCGTCAAAGGATGACAGTTCGTAGCCAACAAATTAGAGACCCCCAGAAAAAATGCCAGCATATAGTGGAATGCGGAGGACAAAATCTGCCAAATTTTAGAGTCTTCCCTTTCTACCAGTGCGAAAAAAAACACTGAAAAAAAGGCGGATTAATAAGGAAACATTTTCCATCAACAAGTTCAAACCAATGCTTAATCCATTGCATAAATAGATTCTACCTAATTCCCCTTACAATAAACGACATATATAGCCAGCTACGTCCGTTGATTTTCATTGGTTCAAACCATAAGCATCAATATTTAAAAACATATATAACCAGCTACGTCCGTTGATTTTCATTGGTTCAAACCATAAGCATCAATATTTAAAACATATATAGCCAGCTACGTCCGTTGATTTTCATTGGTTCAAACCTTAAGCATCAATATTTAAAAACATATATAGCCAGCTACGTCCGTTGATTTTCATTGGTTCAAACCATAAGCATCAATATTTAAAAACATATATAGCCAGGCACGTCAGTTGATTTACATTGGTTCAAACCTTAAACATCAACATTTAAAAACATATATAGCCAGCTACGTCCGTTGATTTTCATTGGTTCAAACCATAAGCATCAATATTTAAAAAACATATATAGCCAGGCACGTCAGTTGATTTACATTGGTTCAAACCTTAAACATCAACATTTAAAAACATATATAGCCAGCTACGTCCGTTGATTTTCATTGGTTCAAACCTTAAGCATCAATATTTAAAAACATATATAGCCAGGCACGTCCGTTGATTTTCATTGGTTCAAACCATAAACATCAACATTTAAAACATATATAGCCAGGCACGTCCGTTGATTTTCATTGGTTCAAACCTTAAACATCAATATTTAAAAAATATATAGCCAGCTACGTTCGTTGATTTTCATTGGTTCAAACCTTAAACATCAACATTTAAAACATATATAGCCAGCTACGTCCGTTGATTTTCATTGGTTCAAACTTTAAGCATCAATATTTAAAAACATATATAGCCAGCTACGTCCGTTGATTTTCATTGGTTCAAATTTTAAGCATCAACATTTAAAAAATTTAATTAATATAATTCTATCTATCTATCTATCTATCTATCTATCTATCTATATATATATATATATATATACATATATATATATATAAATATATATATAACATTTAGTGGATAGGCATATTTGAGGAGACGGCCCTTTTACTTTTTAAACAGTATATTTATTTACTTTTATATACCCGTGTGAATATTCGAAAAAGAAAATTATTAGTGAAAGAGATGCGCCTATCATCAGAATTTGAACATACATCCTCCTTTGCATGAAGAAACTACATCTTTAGGTGTTGAATAAGAATATATGCGTCTGAACAGACGTCTCCAACTAGTATTCGTTAGCCGCTGTATCAAACGTGTGTGTACAGAGACAAGTAGCTGGCCATCGTTATCATTATTAATATTATTATTTATGAGAATATTCGACCTTGCATGCTAAAGGCTAATGCACTAACCCTGTTAATGCAAGGGAATCAATAAAGTACTTCCAGTATCTCACCGAACTTGCTAATTTTTTTAAAATTCTTTTTTGTTTTTGCTTTTTTACTCTTATCAAAAAAAAAATCAAGCTGCGAACCCTTAAACGGCCTTCACCTTCACCTCGCACTCTGCTTGATTCTAAGTTACTTAAGAGCCTACCCTAGCCAACCCTTCATCAATCAGCCACATCCCGTCGTTCCCCGGACATATCCTGACCGCCTATTAAAACGACTGGTATCGCTTCGAAATGTACGCTTGAAAGAGAGGAAATTCTCGGTGTGGCTTTCGATACTTTACTTTTAAAATGCACTCGGACAAATGAAATCTCACTTTAGCATTTAACATCGATAAACATGAAAGCCGGAGATAAAATGAAAATTTTCCTTTGATTTGTTTATAGTCGGAATATATTACTGGAGCAAATTTCGCTTATCAGCCTATCCGCATTTTTTTCCAGTTAAAACACAAATTGATAAAGTAAGATACGTTGTTTGCAACATTTTAATTCACACACCTGTATAAACTGCATTATATATATATATATATATATATATATATATATATATATATATATATATATATATATATATATGTGTGTGTGTGTATGATAATCCCTAAGGAGCCAAGGCAAACCTATGTTTCACCTAAACGGATCTTCAGCGTAATGCTGTCTCTTAGCTTTACCCTGAAGGTCCGTTTACGTGAAATCAGGTAGGTTTGCCTGGCTCCTTAAGATATCTTAAACTTTTGCTCTACTTAGTGTATTAAGCACTTTACGTAGTTGTCTTTTTACTCGTTTTTTTTTATTTCTTTCGACTTGGAGCTTGAACCCTGGACGATAATTTTCGCCTTTGATTAATGTTCTTGGTCCTTTCTTTTTTTTATTCCCCATTTTTCCTCGGGTACCGATTTATTCTACTGCAAGTTGAGCTATCCGAGGCTTTTCCAAAGAGTACCACCTTTTATATATATATATATATATATATATATATATATATATATTGAGAGCGAATTAATACAAGTAAAAGGTATGTCACTTAGCTGGTTGATGTTAACTTCATAGTTTTGTAGAAGGACCCGTCCGTCTACTCGTCAGGAGCTATCTGCAATTTTCTGCTTATATTTGTCGATTTTTCTTTTTTATATGCACCTATGATTGATGCTATTTCTGTCACAGTTTATGTGTGTATGTGTGTGTGCGGTCGTGCGCCTGCTCTCATGCGCCTGTGTGCGCGGGTAAGCGTACGTATAGAATGTAGCGATTATTTGTCCTTTTCGTCGCTTTTTTTCCTTCCACTTTTACTCTCACTCCTTAGCCGTGCTTCTGTATTTTCTCTCTTCCTCTGTTTTTCTACTGTTGCCATTGGGTTTCCGTTTTTTTTTTTTGTTTTCTGTCGTTTTTTTCTTGATTTAAGAAAATTGTATTTCATTTTTTTACATAAATAATTAATTTTTATGCTTAAGTGATAAAGTAAATATTTATATATTTTTTCACGTGGCTATTATTTCGTTTTACTTACCTTATTTGATTAATTAGTTAGGCTATTACTTGTAAATGGTTATGTTTATAATTATTTTTTATTTATTATTACACAGATTAATGTAGACACAATATCTCTTGACAGCTTCAAATTAATATAGAGTTTTAAAGATTTAAAAGTTTATAAATTATTTTAATTAAAATTAAATAAAAATAAAAATATTCTTGTAAAAACTCATTATTCATTGAATGTTTTTCCTAAAACAGTGTTCATAATGTATTATATGGAGAAAAACAATTTAAAGTTTTCCTAATGAAATAATGCTTTACTTTTATTGCATTTTTTATTTACGATTCAGAACAAATTTCCAGTAATTGTGGGTCCTTTTTAACAACAAAAACAACAAAAATTCTCCGAGCGCTTGTTTTTATAACAAATATGGACGTTAATAGATATAAAAAAAAATAATTCCTTGAAATTTCATAAAATTAACAAACGAAATTAACGAAATTGTGCTCTCTGGATTTATCATTATTAATTTTTTTTCGATTATACATGCTGATCGACGTAATAGTCATCGTTTGCTTATAAGAAAATGGCGTCTAGTCTTGCTGAGTATTATCTCTAAATCGTTTAAGAATCTCACCTCGCGTAATGAAAGTTAACTTGAGCAAATCACTCCTCTAGATTATTATGCCGGTATCCACCAGGGCTGTATTCTTGGACCCAGTCTCTTCATCATTTGCATAATCCATCTTCCTGATGCCAGGATATGCAATGGTATTGG